GAGGAAGGGTGGGGTGGGTGGGGAGGGAGGGAGCAGGATTTCAGAGACTGGGCAGCCGGATGGGTTGTGCCTTCCCTCTGGGGAAGGAAGGGTCCTCAGGATGCTTGGGAAGGTCTTGTCCTGGGCCCTCCCACTATGCCAGGTAGTGTCCACTGGGGACTTGACACAGCCTCATCGCTGAAGAACTTTCCTAGCCCTCCTCCTGTGGTGTGTATGTGGTGGTAGTATGGGGGGAGGTCCCCAGCTCCTTGGAGCTGGCTTCAGGGAGCTGTGTGCCTAGGGGCGGGGTCTCTCGGTGAAAGAGGCCAGTGTCCGCCCCTGGCCATGGCCTGCCCCTATAGCTCTATATATAACTCCTGTCCTGAGGCTGGATGAATGGGGGTCTGTATGGGCAGGAGGCTGAGAGCCAAGAACAACAAGTGGGGGCCCAAGGGGTGGGGGACTGAGAGGCCAGAGGGAAGGCTCCCTTAAATAGAGGGACCTCAGCTGGAGCCTGCACCCATCCACTGACAGCCCCTCCACCTTCTTGCTGAAACTGAGGGGTTGCCCATCCTCAAGCCCAGGAGAGCCCATTTCACGGGAGCTCAGCTCCTCCATCTCCTTCCAGGTGACTTCATCTTGTCAGGCCTTGCCCCCTGCGGAGCTGGTGAGTGTGCCGGATGGGGCAGGGAAGGCAGGTAACCCCTGACTGGGGGTCCAAAGGTCTTGTGGCCTCATGGAGGGCCCCAGGAGGTTACCTAAAACTTTGTGCTATGGGTAGTGATCATCCAGGTCAGAAAAAAAAGAAACAGATGAGCCGTCCATCCCATCCCTCTGCTGTTCTTGCCCCGTAGGGACTTTCGCCCCTCTCCCAGGGGGTAGACAGACCTGCCCTCCCTATACCCGGAGGCCAGACTTGTCCTTGCCTGGCGCTAACCACTCCCCTTTTCTCTACCACCTCCCTCTAGCGGCGAAATACAGCCCCAGTAAGGCGCATAGAGCATCTGGTAAGGTGATGCTGGGGGCGCGGGGATGGGGGTGGGGGTGCGGGGAGGCAGGTGGCTCTGGGATTAGGTACTTAGGTTTCCTGAGGACATAAGAACTGTATAGGGCACTCCGGATAGGGAGCCTAGAATAGAGGCACTCAAAGAGAAGTTCAGTCACGGTCTCTCACCCACCAGGGATCCACCAAGTCCCTGAACCACTCAAAGCAGCGCAGCACTCTGCCCAGGTGAGTGAGGCGAGGCTGGCCCCGCGTGTCCCCTTTCCACCGGCCCCCCGCCTAGAGTGATACCTTCCCTCTGGACCCACCCACCCTCGGGTCTCAGCGAGTCTGGCCGCCGTCTAAGATAACCCTCCCATCACACTGGCCACCTCCCAGTGCTCTGTTCCTGCGTCCCCTACGGTCGCTTCGCCCCCTCCCCAGGAGTTTCAGTCTGGACCCACTCATGGAGCGGCGTTGGGACTTGGACCTCACCTACGTGACGGAACGCATCTTGGCCGCTGCCTTCCCGGCGCGGCCGGACGAGCAGCGACACCGGGGCCACCTGCGAGAGCTGGCTCACGTGCTACAATCCAAGCACCGGGACAAGTACCTGGTGAGGGGCGTGGCCGGCCGGAATCAGCCAATGAAAGGGCTGGGCTGTCTGCAGGTGGGAGAGGCTACTCACTGACGTCACCGAAGAGAAGAAAGACAGGGCCGGGGCGGGGCCGAAGTGCGGCAGGGAGCCGCGGAAGAGGGATCCTAGTCCGCAGTCTATGGTGCCAACACCTGGGCCATGCCTTAGTTACCTCCTTATCTCAGAGGACTCTTACGGAGGGTCCACCTCCAGCGTGTCTCGCTGTCTTGAGACCACTTTCAGCTAAAGCCCCCCCCTCTTCGTTTCAGCTCTTCAACCTTTCAGAGAAAAGGCATGACCTAAACCGCCTAAACCCCAAGGTAGGGAGCCCACCCAGCCACCAAACCAAACCGCCCTGGCCCAAGAGCACCCCAGGATCCTCTTTATTAATAGTAGCAGTTAGAGCCGGGCGTGGTGGCGCACGCCTGTAATCCCAGCACTCGGGAGGCTGAGGCAGGAGAATTACTGTGAGTTCAAGACCAGCCTGGGCTACATAGTTACGTTCCAGGTCAGTCTCAACTACATAGTGAGACCCTGTCTCAAAAAAACAACAAAAAAAGTAGCAGTTGGCATCCATTTCACTCTTAAGCACTCTTCTACATGACTCCTAAATTACTTGAAACAAAGCAAAACATGGGTGCAGTTATCAGCCCACTGTATATGTAAAGAAAGCCCTGGAGGAGGGGGATGTAGTTCAGTGGCGCTGCGCCTGCCTGGCAAGGGCAAGGTCCTGAGTTTGGTCCCTGGTACAGCTAAAAATAAAAATAAAAAGTAAACTAAATAAATAAATAGACCAGGGCCAGGGATGTAGCTCAGTGGTGCTGCCACCTGCCTCCCAAGAGCAAGGTCCTCAGTTCGATCCCCCCGTAAAAAAATATATATATAAATAAACAGACCAAAAACAAAAAAATACGTGTTTTTAAAATGTGGACAACTAGCAAGCCCCTGACCCTGCCCCAAACCCCTGCCTCTTGTCCCTTTTGCACCCCCACCCATCTCTCTCTGTTCATGCCCCGCTCCTTGCACCCATATGTCTGCAGGTCCAGGACTTCGGCTGGCCTGAACTGCATGCCCCACCTCTGGACAAACTGTGCTCCATCTGCAAAGCAATGGAGATGTGGCTCAGTGCTGATGCGCAGAATGTGGTTGTACTGTACTGCAAGGTGGGCTGGGGCCTCACGTCACAACTGGGAGCCCCTCAGCCTGCAGCCCCACAGCCTTTCCATCCCTGTTTCTTTCTCTCTCAGGGGAGCAAGGGCAAGCTCGGGGTCATCGTCTCTGCCTATATGCACTACAGCAAGATCTCTGCAGGGTGAGGCCCCGTCGACCAAGCTCTGCTTTCCCAGTGGCCGTCCTGAGCTCCTGTAGGAGCCTCTTCTGTGTTCAGAGAACACCTAACTGTAAATTTGGTGTCTTGCCTCCTTTTATGGCTTGTACTTCCCCATAGTCTCCAGCAGGTGCCTTGTATTAGTTTCCTAGGGCTGCCATAACAGAGCACCACAAACTGGGTGGTTTAAAATAATAGAATTCATGATGCTAGAGGCCAAAAGTCCCAGCACCAAGGTGTCAGCAGGGCCTTGCTTTCTCTGTGACTGTGGGTAGAACCTTTCCTTGCCTCTAGCTTCCAGTGCAGGCAGCAATCTTTGGTGCTCCTCAGCTTGCAGCTGTCTCACTCCAGCCTCTGCCTCTGTTGTGGTGCTCTCTCTCTGTGTCTTTTACACTTGATCTTAGCCAAAAGGCCAAGAAGCCATACCTCTTCTCTTCTTTCAGTAGTGGGGACTGAATCCAGGGCCTCGTGCATGCTAAGCAAGCACTCTACCACTGAGCCACACTCCCAGCCTCCTCTTCTCTTCTTGTAAGGACCAGTCAAATTGGATTAAGGGTCCAGCCTACTCCTGCATGACCTCATCTTAACTAATTACGTCTGTGAGACCCTATTTCCACATAAGGTCACATTCTGAGATACATATCTTTGTGGGGGGGACATAATTTGACCCATAACCTAGTTTCACTGCCCCATTTTTCAGATGAAGAAAGTAAAGTCCAGGGAACAATTGCCTGAAGCCCAACAACTAGTCAAGTGACTGTTTTGTGGTGCTTCTAGTTCTCCTATCACCACTCTGGGCTTCCTCCTTCCCTGCAACTTTGGGATGGGTTGCCAAGACAAAACTACCCATAAACCCCCAACCTGGCCCCACACTCCCCAGGGCCGACCAGGCACTGGCTACTCTCACCATGAGAAAATTCTGCGAGGACAAGGTGGCCACAGAACTGCAACCCTCTCAGCGGCGGTGAGTAGCTTGACCAGGGAGAAGATGAGTTCTCTCATTCATGCAGCACACTTTAACTGGGCCACTCCTACGTACCAGGCACTGCCCAGTGCTGAAAAGTCAGAACAATCCAGGTCCCTGCTCTCATGGAGCTTATATGTTAGAGTAGAAGGCAACAAGCCTGGGAATTAGTAGATCATTCTGAATAATGATAAATTCTGTGAAGCTAAGCCTGGTGCACTGGCTCATGTCTGTAATCCCAGCTACTTGGGAGGCTCAGGCAGAAAGATTACAAGTTCAAGCCTAGCCTGGGAAATTTAGTGAGACCCTGTCTCAAAATTAAAAAGTAAAAAGTGCTAGAAATGTAGCTCAGTGTTGGAATGCTTGCCTAGCATATACAACGTCCTTGGTTCAATCCGTGGTTGTGCTAAGTCTTGTGATAAAGGCAGACTTGTGGGCTAGGCAGGGCCTGCCAGTATAACGTGAAGCAAAGATCTAGGAGATCTAGCATTCCAGTTAGAGGGAATGCAAGTAAAAATAAAACCTTTAAGGCAACAAGAGAGATTGAGGTCAATGCAAGGAAGAACTTCCCAGTAAGTGGGAAGATGGGAGGAAAAGCTAAGAAGAGCAGGCCCTCGGAGCTCGAGCAGAGGGTATGGGTGATTGAAGTGACACAAGGAGCCCTCTAGAGGAAGGGGCTCAGGTTCTCCTGGATATTCTCCTACCAGGTATATCAGCTATTTCAGCGGGTTGCTGTCTGGCTCCATCCGGATGAACAGCAGCCCTCTCTTCCTACACTCTGTGCTTGTGCCCATGTTGCCAGCCTTTGAACCCAGCACAGGTGAGCCCACCTGAGAAGTACTCCGTAGGGGGAGGGTCCCTCCCACCCCTCCACTCAGTGCCCATCATACACCTTCTCCTCTGCCCCTCCAGGTTTCCAGCCCTTCCTCAAAATATACCAGTCCATGCAGCTCGTCTATACATCTGG